AAAAAATATTAATAAAATTAACACTTAAAAAAATATTAATAAAATTTAAAAATATTAATAAAAAAATATTAATGAAATTAACTCTTAAAAAAATATTAATAAAATTAACACTTAAAAAACATTAATTAAATTAACACTTAAAAATATATAATAAAATTAAATGAATTCTTAAAAAAAAAAAATATGTAGGAACAGTGCAATTAACGTTTACAGTGAATGAAAAGCCGCATTTATCTGCTTTTTAGTAATTGCATTTTAAACGTTAAAATTATGTGGGATTCATGTACCGTAAACTAATTTTTTTTTTTATTAAATGATTATAAACTATATTTTAATTAAAACATAGCTGGAGCCGCGTAAACAAACGGCCTATTAGTTGTCCAAAAGCTCTTTTTTCGCAGGGGGTTGCATGGTATGAGGAATTTATGCACGAATCAAATATAGAACAATATATATATATATATATATATGGCCGAGTCAAGATCATGGCAAGGAAAAAGGAAGGAGATGAGAAGAAATTCAGTAGAGCAGGCACCTGATTTCAAAGACTTTGGGGGTGTTTGGTACAGCTTTTATTTCTGTTTTTATATGTTTTTTTTAAATTATTTTTTACTTGAAAAAATAAACAAAAACTAAATAAGAAAAATCCTGCATCACAGCTCATGAAGATGGTCAGTGCGTTGGGTGAGCTGAAATTCACTGTGGATCGCCACTACTGAGCTAAGACTTGATGGCGACACGCTCCAAGCCATTGCATAGAATATTAACCAGGTGGGGTCATATTTTGTGTGAGGTTGTGATCGATGCTAGCTTCACAAAAGCTGTATTTTTTTAAAAAGTAATTTTTTATATTTTGAGATATTTTAACATACTTATTTTAAAAATTATATTTAAAATATAAAAAAATATTATTTCAATACATTTTTAAATAAAAATATTTTAAAAAACAATAAGTATTATATTTTAAATACCCATGTGATATATCATTTACTAATATATTTTTTTAAAATAAATGTTATTATATTCTTGAACACCTTTGAAAATCTCACTTGGAACTGTAGCAGCAGGTGGGAAGCAGTTGGGAGAAAAGCTTTTGAAGTAAGCAATGGCTTGGCTCCTACTCAGAGAATCAAACTCAAACCAATTTGAAAACTAGAAATAAACAATCATCTCACAAGTTTTCCCCACAAAAATATGTCTCTGTGTGCAGTAGCCTGCATCATGGTGGCGTGTGTGTTTGTGTGAAGAACACGAGTATTTATCTATTTGCACACCCACAGAACAGGGCTCGATGTGTTAGATGGTGAAGAGGATTAAGTTACCCTGGCTTGCTTGTCAGTATATACAGGTAGGAACTCCAATGAATTTTCATACCTAGCACGGAAAGATCAGCATAAGTTAACTAATATCATGCATGGATTTTTAAGCATTTGTAGAATCTCTTGATCAAGTTAGTCATAACCCATTAATGGTTAAAAAAAGAAGAATAAGAAGAAGCTGGTCATAAGTTTTTAAAAGCTTATGGTAAACTAACATAAGCAAAAAAATATTTAAGAAATTAGCATAGATAATATATATAACACGAGAATCATAGATAATATCTATGATACGAGAGTTGTATTCATTATTTGTGACTTGAGAATTGAAAATTTTAATTGTGATACTCAAGTTGTTAATGTTATATATGATTTAACTAAGAAACACATCCTATGATGTTTTTTTTTGCCATTAACCCCTTACCAAAAAAATCACAATTCACACAATTCAAATAACTAGATTTTTTTAGCATTAAAATATAATTTGCATAAACAACACATAACATCTTCAATCAGAAGTAACAAAATTAAATCTACAATTAACATAACATTATTTTATTAAAATTAAACTAACTATGCATATATTCATAATTCTCGTAAAAAATAATAATATATAACTATATCTAATAACCACTTTAGCTAGTAAAAAGGTCTGGAATACTTGTGGTAGAATATCACCCCAACTCGTCCAATTCAAGAACGAGCATGCAAAATCCATGTAGTTGTGAGGAGGACCAATATTATCCCAGCTCGTTGATAGACCAACATCCCCAACACTTCCACAATAAGAAATCTTATCTTTTGCTAATGCCATTTTAAAATGCTCAATCTTCCTAATCTATTGAAGTTCATTATGACATAAATTGTGCATAATGTTGGCCATAATATGTCATATATCATCAATACCTTCACAAGTAATCGTTGCTTTCAAAGCCTCTCATACCAAATAATGAATCAATTTACATATATTAAAAACTAATTAGTAGTCATTATCCATAATAACATTAATAATATTTAATAAATATTATATGTAAAATAATTTTCATACGAATTAATTTGGTCTTGAATATCAGGGCGCACAATGCATTGGATTGTATAAATATCTTAAGAAACATGAACGCATAATAAACATATGAACGCGTAATAAACATATATCATCTCATATAAGTATCTACATCAATCTTCACATATTGCTCCTAAAAAAAATATGATTTGTCTTCAATCCTTTCATTTATGTGATAGGCCTGCATTAAAAATAGACATTTACCACAATTTATAGGTATCTTATATTATTAGATACATTATTGTAAAACATATTTTAGTTAAGGAGTTATTGATACTTCAAGTGCAAAATGATGATATAAAACCATGATAAAAATGCACTTTTAAGTACTAATCACAAAGTAATACAACGAGACTTGTGCTAACTAAATATCAGAGCCCTTACGACATATAAGCAAAGCTAAAAGTATGAAGTCTTCTATATATGACATTCATACAACCTATCAGAATATATGAAAGACTTATATTATATAACAAATCAAAACTAAATAATTCAGGTTCAAATAACAAAAAAAATATAAAACATTTGCAACTCATACTTGATGTAGATGTTGTTTATCCAAATCATCCCGGTAGAACTCGTGCATATGAGTGAGATTTACAGTCATATGTTAGCCTCGCACCATCTGACATGATAAGTCATAAATTTAGTGTAAAAAAAACAATGGTACCGCATTGTCAATAGTACTTGTGTAAATAGAACTTCTAAATATATCTAATGTGTATATTCGAGCATACATAATCAACTAGTGCTACATCACATATGCTGGGGGGGTCTTACAACTTATATCCAACCATATCAATTTGATGCATCTGCCCCTATAAAAACTGACTAGACACATTAGTCTTAATAAATCATTACATAAAACATCTTTATCAATCAACCATCCATGTCTTGTTACAATGACTTCACCCATCGAAGTCTAGTCAACATAGCAACTTCTCGTAGTATGGGTGTTATCTCATCAATACTTAGATTGAATGTGTATGT